GCTTGTCTGCCTACACCAAAGACCATCTAGTTTCACCAAGGAGTTGGTTCTAGGCTTTGGAGCTGACATCACAGAACTCAAGAATTCTCATTTATCTCAGGCTCAAAAGGGGAGTACTCGAGTTCTAGTCTTCATTCCATCACTGATCTGCTGTGATATCGAACAAATCTTCCCTTCTCTAATTCTGTCCTGATGATACACACACACACACACACACACACACACACACACACACACACACAGACACACACACACACACACACACACACACACACACATTGTTGCCTGATAGACTTTTTGGCATATTCTATTTCCACCTCTTCCGTGGACTAGATTTTGAAAACATATTCTGTTGTACATAGCTAAACCATGGCTACCTAGCATACACGATCAGTTCACTTTCTCATTTTATCTAAATAAAGAAAATTGGACAAATCAAATTCTAAGTCACTTTAATAAGCATGATTTAAAAATAACAACAAAAGATCAGAATGCATTGAAAGCAGTAGGAAAATATTCCCTCAAAATACATTTTCCCTCATAGTAATGACCATTATAAAGCACTCCAGTTAACAAAATCTAGATTAATCTTAGGTTAATTAACAAAATGATTTTTTTTTTTCAAGCAAGATAGTTCTTCTATGGTTTTGCTGCTAAGATAGCCAGCAGATGTCTGCCTGGTCTGAAGGGAATTTCTCTTCCTCAGGAGGAAACAGCTTAAATAGGAAACAAATAGCCATATGCTGACTGTGCACTGCTTAGCAGATGATGTAGAGAGGCATGTTCTGCAATGGAAAGCATGAGTGAGGGTCAAGGTCCAAATTAATTTTCCTTAAAATTCAATGTAATTGTCCACAATCAAATGATGTATTAAATATAAGTTGTGTTAAAGAACTGTGCTATCATTTTGTGCCAAGCAAAACATGGAGTTCCAAATTTAATAATCAGTGATGTTGGGTGTCAGAGAATAGACCCATAAAATATTTTCCTAAACACTTCATAGACTCTCAGATAGAACTAATCCAAAATAAGCAAGAAAATACTGCTTGCAAGACATTTTTGGAAAGCTGGGTTCGAAACCGAATTAGACAAATAATGAGTTTTCTTAAGCCTTAGAAACAGCAATGTCTTCTGAATTACATAATTCAATGTCTGCATCAAGATATGTCATTCTTGGTTTGCAAAGAAAAACAATAATTGAAAAATACATTTAAAAAACACATCTGTGATTAAAAATTTGTTCCTTTACAAAAACAAATGTCCAAAAATTCCAAGTGAAAACTTTAGAAATAAAGACTACTATATATTTCTTAGCACTCCAATTTTCAGACTTTATAACTGTTTGAGATAAGTTTGACTGCATCAAAACTGAGTTTTCAAGAACAAGGAATACAGTTTTTACCATATGGTGAGGATCAGTACCAAAGGGTCAGCCAACACACCACACTGTGGCATAGCCTAGTTATAACTGGGAAGTAAATGAAAATAAAAGTAAATAATCCTAGAGATAGCCGATAAATTCAATCCTTTGGTACATTATTTCAATTCAAATAAAAGTTTTAAATGTCATTCCATATCATTTTTTTGATTTTATTTTATTTTTTTTAATATTTGAGAGATTGACAATTGTTAAGAATCAAGGAATCCAGTTGTTGTTACAGCTGCAAAACTTGGTTTAAAGGCAAATAAAACACAGATAAATGTTTTTAAAAGCATTACCAACAACCATGCTGTGAAACCTGGGTTGCCTCAAGACACTTTTGTTAATCTTATTACTTGGGGCTACAGCTTCACCAAGAAATTAGATGCAATCTTTGTCTTCCTGTGTCTGAGTCTTGTGGAGAATAAGAATAATTCTTATTGAACTTTTGGTACATAAACTAAGAAAACAAACAAACAAAAAAAGGTAGTAATATTCTCCAGGAAAAAATAAAAACCAAACTATAACTATTTTTACAGGTTTAACTTACAACAAATAGGGCCCATGCCCCCCTCACCCCACCCTGTTTATTTACATAGCATACAAAAGGCAGGCTTTGGTTTTCAGACACAAGCATCTTAAAAACGGTAAACGAGAAGCACCCCTTGCCTAAAATAAATACCTGAAATACAGTGAACTAAATTACTACATATCCATTTGTAGTACACTGAAGCACGAGTTTACTAAATAACAGTTTCCAAACTTTTTAAACACACAAAACTCTTTTAAACTGCAGAGTACTTAATTTTTCCGTAAACTTATATGTGCTATGTCCAAATCATACAATTTGTTCAGGTAAAAACACGCTTTTAGTCACTGCAATTAAACTAGTATAATTATTTAGAGCAGGCTGGCCGGTTAGTTCAGTTGGTTAGGGTGCAGTGTTATAACGCCAAGGTCAACGGTTAGGTTCTCCCTACTGACCAGTCACCAAAAAAAAAAAAATTATTCAAAGCAAATTCTACTTAAACTTTTTCAGGATTTCAAATAATTATTATTATCGTTATATCGTTATTAAGAACCCATATTATCAAATTATCCTTATTAATATCAAACTGCATTTGATAATCTATACATTTCTCCCTTTACAAGTATATGAATTGTTATTCAATGTTAAAGTATTTTGAAGTGCTTATATTAAATTTTATCTGGTAAATTATAATATTCTATTTTTCTCTGGAGCTTGAAAACGTTTTGATAATGATGAACATCATGCTAAGATTGTGAATTATAAATTAAGGGGCTCTGTATTTGAATATTTTTCTGGCAAAAGTGATATAATGATCTTATGTCTGTTTTCAACTCTATAATTGTATATTTGTTGACTAAGATCGGAAAGCTGTTCCTATAATGGCCTCTCAAGGTAATGGAATGTCCGGCTTAGAAAGAGAACTTAACTGGAAAATAATAGTACCTCTAAAAAAAGACAGATTAGAAAAGACAGCTCTGTAAATCCCAGTGCACTAAAGGTACCTTTATCATCCAGGGTAAAACTAGAGATGTTTTGAAAAAGGAAGATCTAGAAGGTAAGCATTTAGACCTTCTATTCAAGTTTTTTTTTTGTTTTGTTTTGTTTTTAATTTAAATTCTGACAACGATAAGAATGCAAGTAGAGCACAAGATGATCTTTGATATTTCAAAACATCAAAGTCGGTACACACTTCATTTATCAGTAATTATAATTACGAGAACACTCCCTCCCTTTTTCCCTGTAGTCTTCAGTTTCTTACCTACCAAAAATAAGAGCTGGCCTATGTTATCTATATCATCTTTCTTGATTCTCTAAATTTGTTTAACATAATTTTATCTTCACCGGGAATAAATGCTAACATAATTTTATCTTCACCGGGAATAATTATCATTAAACATAAATGTGTCAAAAGTTACAAAGGTGCTAATATCATAACTTTGAGAGATGACTTTATCAAAGCATATATATTCTTTTATAAATAAGTCGTATGTTTAAACTTCTTCGCTTAGGCTACATTTAAAGTTGGGCTTAAAAAAAAAAGCAAAAGCAAAATAGCCTTCTGTTGTGATTATAGCTCTCATACACCTCACTGATTTACTGGTAAGACCTTCGCTGAGAAACAAGGCAATAAGAGAAAGACAATAAGTTCATTATCAGTTAACCATAAATAGAGAAATATAAACCTGGGTTTCAAGTAAACGTTTAAAAAATATGAATGTCTAGTTTTGAAATAGCTTAAAATGGTTACTTTAATTTTTTATTTTATCTAATTATATCTTATGCTCATATTAAACATCTTTGGCATTTTGTGTCAACTGAAGTACTATGTGGTTCGGTGAAGGTGATCAAATTATTTAAATTCTCTGGGGCTGATTCCACATTAATAAAACATCTTTGCCATTTATGTGGTTCGGTGAAGGTGATCAAATTATTTAAATTCTCTGGGGCTGATTCCACATTAATAATACAGTTGAGTTGGAATAATTTGTCTCTAAATTCCTTTCCACTTTAATTTTATTATTATTTATGATTTTACATATTCAAGTTCTAGTTTAATGTTGGAGATATGAAAACTGATTATATAATTAAATTTTGGTCATAAATTATATCGAAATGTTAATCATCTTGGAGAAACACCATATATGAATATATACATAGTTATGCATATAGTTTTCATGTATTATATAATTAAACAAGTAAATTTAATCTAAATTTCATTTGTCTCTCTAGTCCCTACGCAATTCTCAACTTTTGTCATGTATATAGAGCAGCATTCTTTAAAGGGAATGAAACTCTTTGGCTACCTCTTGTAGGTGGATAGAAAATAAGAGAAGTCCAATTATTCAAATACAGTACACAATTAGACTCTGGAAATAACAATTTAATCATTAGTCAACATATCCTTCTTGAGATAATTTCAATTGAGTAACATTTGGTGTTCGCGTAAATAAAACTGAACCATCAACTACTTGATGGTTACATACACCTGATTTCCTCCCAGGGCACAATATAGTAGCCAAGTATGAAGTATAACAAAAGTATCATGAAATCAAGCATAATAATAAAGTATGATACATATACATACACTTTTCTGGATATAGCTTTAACAGAAGTAAAATATATTTCTAAGAATTAGAAACAGTTTAAAACCATACATTATACTGTCAGTTGAAAATATTTCTCCTGAGGAAGAGAAATTTAAAATATTCCACATTTTTTTATTTACAGACAAATTCTTATATTCAATATATTTAAAAGCAACAAATGAGAGAAATAAAACAATGTCAGTGAAAATGTTCAACAAAAAACAGCTCCAAATCAAAAACCAAATAGTTCAACAACTATGGGGAAATCCCAATTTAGCTTGACTAACCAACTAGGATGAGAAATACAGAAAATTCAAATAGTAGATTGTATTCATATGTAAAGGTAGAGATTGTCTCAAAGTAAAGCCTGTGAACAGATTCGATTTTTTTATTGCCATTATCAAGACAAATGATCGCACCCTGCCACGATCCCCCCCAAACCCAGGAAGCCCATTTCACTTACTGGCTACCTCCAGCGATGCGTTGTGGCTCACGGCCTCTCCAAGGTAATTCCTTGCTACACAGATGTAGACCCCTTCATCAGGTCTGCTTTTTCGTCCATGTACTATACGTAAGAAAAATAAAGATCCACTTGGCAGCAACATTCGGTGTGAGCGAGGGTCATCTTTGTCTGTCTCCACTCTCTCCCCACCTTTGTACCATTCAATAGTGGGTGTGGGGCGGCCTTCAGCTTTACAGTTCAAAGTTGCGGGTTCTCCTTTTGAGACAATTAGGTCTGAAGGGTGTTCAACAATGCGAGGTGGAAAATCTTCCTGACGAAGACGGGAGCCTGCAGGAGAATTGACAAAATATCTTCATACATCACTTGAAAAGAGGTAAAAGTCTTATTTCAAAAGCATAGGCTTTAACACTACTCTTTAAACACTGCATAATATTGACCTACACTTCCTACCCTATTTACCAGCTAATCCTTCTGGTGTCCACCTTCAGTACACCTTCCAATTCCTGAATCCTTTTGACCCTCCACTTAGAAAGCACTCTTGCTTAAACTTTGCTTGTACAAATCCTGTCTGCTCTTCAAATCCCTTGTCTACGAATCCTTTCAGAACCCATTACACTGTCTGTTTATTCCATGCATGTGTCTGTTTTTGCAGAGGAATGTGTTAGAGAACTGTTTAACAGCTTCCTGAGTATTACAAGTAATGGCATGGCTTCCTGGAATCTGCTTTTTAACTAACATTAATCAACACTTTAACAAAACATATGCTATGTACTTATGAACATTTATATTCAAGTATAACGAAACTGTTCTCTATATAGAATTTTATATCTTATGTATATATACTTTCCAAAGAGCTTTTACTAATAAATTAATTTTGTTACTAGTAACTAATAATTATATGAATATTTTAATAGACTTCAAAGATAAAATGTTAAATAATTGAGTATAAAAAATTAAATATAATATTAAATGGGAAAGAATATTGAGTGAGGGTCTGCATTTTGGATTTTATATATTACTTAATAAATAATGCCCTGAGTACATGTCATTTAAATATTTCCTGTGTCTGTACCTTAGTTTTTCTGATAAGATTATAATCTCCAATATAGGGATCATGTTTCATATTTTTTAATATTCCCATCTTATTGCTGCTATGTATAGAGTAAATATGTAAATTTCTCAAAGATATCTCAAATTCAACAGCCCAAGGCTTCACTTAATTGAGTCCCAAAGCTTGCTCTCATCTAGTATTCGAATCATTCCAATCTTAATGAATAAGGCAAAATATAAACCAGTTTTTCTTAACATCTCCCTTTCTGTTCCATAGTTCTCCCCCAAATTTCTCCAGTCAATCTATTCATCCCCTTTCTCTCCAGCCAGCTACCATCCCAGGTTCAACTACTATTTCTTCCACCAAGATTTAGGAAAGACTCAAAAATCATTTCACTTCAATGTAACCGGATGAAAGCTTTGAAATGCAAATGCAATCTCAGTCCTTCTCTACTTCTGTGGCCCTTAAAATAAACTCATTGCTCTTAACATAAAGTCCTAAAGAGACCTACAAGAGCCAGAGTGTTCATTCACTGATCTAGCCCTCCAGACTCTTCCTGTTTCACTTTCTCTGCTCTCTCCACCCAGCCTTCTGTTAATTTCATGAACTTACTGTGCTTCCTCCTTCCACATGGCCTATGCTGCCACAGGGCCTGGGCTCAAAATAAACTTACCCTACTGAATGCCCACTCTTCTTTCAATCTCTGCTCTCCGTTATCTTTACCACAAAATTAAATGTTGCTTTTATAAACCTTTATCAGTACCACACTCTAACCAACTGAGCTAACTGAGCTAACCACACTCAAACCAACTGAGCCCAGTACTGTAATTTAAATCTATTTGTCTGATGCATTTAATATTGCCTTTCTTTCCCATTACTCTGTAAGATCTGTGGGTCTAATTTTGCTCAAGGTTTTTTTCTCTTATGCTTAGCAGAGAGCGGAGCACACTACAGTACTCAATAAATATGTGTTGGATAAATGAAAAAAATGAAGTGCTAAGAAAGATCAAACTGAGCAGAATGAGTTGAAGCTAAAGAATCATGCATTCTGTTATTGCCTCTCAATCCCACCTCCAGGCAGTCACTGACCTGCTTTGCTCTCTTCCATTATTAATTTATTACCCCTGTTCTAAAATTTTATATAAATAAAATCACAAAGAATGTTAAGAAACAAAGATTCATGCATTCTATAAAGAGACTTTAAAAGATTTTGTTTTTTAATTGTAAGCAATATGCATACTATTCAATATCAAAAAGACTATGAACACCAAGGTCAAGGGTTCAGACGCCCATACTGACCAGGTGCCAACAAAACAAAAACAAACAAACAAGAAAAGACTATAAGCCCTGCGTGGGGCTTATTTATATTAGAACACCAAGGTCAAGGGTTCAGACGCCCATACTGACCAGGTGTCAACAAAACAAAAACAAACAAACAAGAAAAGACTATAAGCCCTGCGTGGGGCTTATTTATATCTGAGTCTAATTTGTAACTACTGCAATTAATATTTTTTTTCTTAGTGAAATTAATGATGAAGCTAAAAGAACTATTATTTCCCTATGTACCCTATAAAACAAAAACTTAGAATCGGAAACACTGAGAAATTTTACAGAGAAATGAGTTTAGTGCATGGTATACAACAAGTGTAAGTACTTTAAATAAAACCAGGCTCTAAAGAGGGGGAAATAATCCAGCAATATGCGGGGGAGGACTTGGAAACTTGTACTTGCTCACAAAGCCTATATTGAAGTCAAGTGAAATTTAGATTGGATTTTAGATTACTTATAAACGCCAGACCTGTAAAACTTCAGAAAATTAAGCATTATAATATATTACTGGCCTTTACCTTGGCTATAATTATGGAAGGTGAATGCTAATGAGAATCAGCTGCTGAGGTCATATTTATTTAATTAAAGAAAATTTTATTTTAAATTCTCAAAATGCATTTCAGATAGAAATAGGGATGTATAGGTTGCTATGAGAACACACACACAAAGGGCCACTGGGCAAGTTAGAGAAGGCATCTGGAGACATGATACTTGAGATAAGCCTTGAAAAATGCATCAAAAAGAAAAGAAAGGAGATGATTTCACCCCAGGCATAGCTACAACAGTATATGGTACACTCGTGGGACCTACAGGTAGGTGAGCATGTCCTAAGTATAAGGTGCATGTCAGAGACTGGGAGGCATAAGCCTGAAGAAACAGCTAAAAGAACTAATTTGAGGGGCTTTGAACATCAAGTCAGAGTTCTGGAACCTAGTTGAAAGCACAGGAAATAATGAAAAATTTTAGGCACGGGATTGATATGATCAAGTTAGGTCTTCAAGAGCTCACTATTGTTAA